ATCCCTTACAATTTACAATTTTTCATAAACATCTAATTTTTACCACATTTCACTAAAGAAAAAAGTAAGGTTGATTCCTTACATCGGAATTTTTTCAGAATCATCTGATTTTGCCCAATTTTGCTAATATATGCAAGGTTCACTCCTTACAATTTGAGATTTTTCATAAAAATCTCATTTTGCCAAATTTTGCTTAAAATGCAAGGTTAACCCCTTTCAATCTGCAATTTTCCAGAAACATCTGATTTTGCCCTAATTTTTGATTTTTCATACAAATCTGATTTTTCCCAATTTTGCTAAAAATGCAAGGTGAACCCTTTACAATCTGAAATTTTTCATTAACACCTGGTTTTGCCGTATTTTGCTAAAAAATGCAAGGTTAACCCCTAACAATTTGAAATTTTTCAGAAACATCTGATTTTGCCCAATTTTGCTAAAAATGCAAGGTTCACCCCTTACAATTTGAGATTTTTCATAAAAATCTGCTATTTCCAAGTTTTGCTAAAAATGCCAGGTTAACCCCTTTCAATCTGCAATTTTCCAGAAACATCTGATTTTGACCTAATTGGGCAAAGGTTAACCTCTTACAATTTTTGATTTTTCATACAAATCTGATTTTTCCCAATTTTGCTAAAAATGCAAGGTGAACCCCTTACAATCTGACATTTTTCATAAACACCTGATTTTGCCCTATTTTGCTAAAAAATAATGCAAGGTTCACCCCTTACATTTTGAGATTTTTCATAAACATTTAAATTTGCCCAATTTTACTAAAAAAAACAAGGTTAACCACTTACAATTTGAAATTTTTAATTCACGTCTTATTTTGCCAAATATCACTAAAAAAGCAAGGTTAACCCCTTACAATCTGAAATTTTCCAGAAAGATCTGATTTTGCCCAATTTCGCTAAAAATACACGGTTCACCCCTTACAATTTGAGATTTTTCATATAAATCTGATATTGCCCAGTTATGTTAAAAATGCCAAGTTAACCCCTTACAATCTCCAATTTTCAAGAAACATCTGATTTTTCCCAATTTCGCTTAAAAAAGCAAGGTTAACCCCTTTCAATCTGCAATATTTCAGAAACATCTGATTTTGCCCAAATTTGGCAAGGTTAACCCCTTACAATCTTAGATTTTTCATACAAATCTGATTTCGCCCAATTTTGCTAAAACTGCAAAGTTAACCCCTTACAATCTGAAATTTCCCATAAACACCTGATTTTGCCCTATTTTGCTAAAAAATGCAAATTTTTCATAAACATTTAAATTTTCCCAATTTTACTAAAAATGCAAGGTTAACACCTTAGAATTTGAAATTTTTCATACACATCTTATTTTGCCAAATTAGACTACAAAACCGAGGTTAACCCCTTACAATCTGAAAATTTCCAGAGAGATCTGATTGTGCCCAATTTCCCTAAAAATGCAAGGTTTACCCCTTACAATTTGAAATGTTTCATAAACATCTAAATTTAAATGCACGGTTAACCCCTTACAAGCTGCAATTTTCCAGAAACATTTGATTTTTCCCAATTTTGCTAAAATGTAAGGTTAACCCCTTGCAAAACTATTCAATCAATACATGAAGTGTCCCATTTGGCTTTTTTAAATCAAATTATTTTTTCCAATTCTTAGTGTATAGGAATTTTCTCTTTTTCCTTTCTCTATTGTTGTTGCTATATTTTGCGAATTAACTCATTCGTATGGAATGCTCATAGTCAATCAAAGAATATTTCACACATAGGGGCCTAAATCATATTTTTTAAAATTTAATAGAAACGCATTGATCGTGCTATCATATACCATTCTATTTCTATTGCGAATTACTGTATTGTTTGGAATGCTCACAATTAAAGACACGTTATTTGAAAGATGTATCAATAATATTTATATTACAATGTACATCTTTATTCTTTCCCGATATAATTTATGGCGTTTCTTACGTCAATTGGCAATCGCGTCATTATATAATGATAGTCAAATTGATCAAACGAAACTCCGTTTTGATTATAGTCAATTATGAAATAGTCATTGATTTATGACATACACCTTTGTTTCAATTTTGATACTACCCGTATACCTGCCGAGCAGCTGTAGATATCAAACTTAACCAAAGTATAAAAGATAGAGGGTAAAAAAAATCAAAAAGTTATGTACTAGTCAAGCTTTCAGGGATCGGTCTGAGCCATAACAATGCCCCAGCCGATCCCTTAGTTCTCTTCCGGGGTCTCGGCGTCCCCGACCAATACACACTTCCTTCCCTATCCATCCATATAACCCCGGAGGGCCAGGCACCATGTAAAAGCAAAGAGCTAAGGGAGGAACAGGGCGGCCCCTAAGCCCTGATCCTCCGAGTGGACCACATGCCCTGAACCTGTACGAAGGCGCCAACCTGGAACTCGCGGACAGTACCAGCAGCAGTGCTTACCGATTAAGCTAAGGTACTGTTGGTACTTTACGACGGGAAATTAAATCTCTTATAGTAAATGATTAATTGAAATCATACGTTAAAAACCAAAAAGACACCAGCGGGATTCGAACCCGGGACCCCGCTAACCGTGGACGACGAATCGTAACCACTTGGCCATTTCGTTACCTTAGAATTTTCCTTAAACTGAGAAAAGTTGTCTTTATAGGTGAGCAAACGCGCCAGAAAGATTACTTGGTCCATTTGCTTTACCTTAATGGGTAAAAACAAGTCGATATAATGAGCCCAGTGTGTTTGGTTTGTTAGGAAGCTGCATAACACAGCCTAATGTGCAAAACAGTCGTGTGCGGCTAGGCTATCATTATGCAACAATGAACACCGCAATTGTGTATTTTCAACCTCCCTCTTCAGCTATTTCAACTTTCTTAAAAAGAAAAATAGAGACTGTCAGCGAATCTCCGGGAGTTGAAATAAGGATCGTCCCCTCGATAGACCTCAGACTCAGTAAAGTTCAACATTGGGCTCTTTTTCAACAGCTGTTTTTGCGGAAACTTTACATCTGGATTTTTTAGAAGCATCTGATTTTGCCCAATTTAGTAAAATATGCTCTAAATTTTGCTAAAAAAGCAAGGTTAACCCCTTACCATTTTAGATTTTTCATACAAATCTGATTTTGTTAAATTTTACTAAATATACAAGGTACACCTCTTACAATTTAAAATTTTTCATAAACATTTCTTTTTGCCCAATTTTGCTAGAAATACAAGGTTAAGCCCTAACAATCTGCAATTTTCCAGAATGATTGTGTCCTATTTTGCTAAAAAAATGCAAGGTTAACCCCTTACAATTTGAATTTTTTTCATGAACATCTAATTTTCCCCAATCTTATTCAAAAAGCAAGGTTAACCCCTTACAATCTGCAATTTTCCAGAAAACTTTGATTTTTTCCCATTTTCGCTTTAAGAAAATGCGAGGTTAACCCCTTTCAATTTGAAATTTTTCGTAACATCTAACTTTGCAAAATTTCACTAAAAAAGCAAGGTTAATCCCTTACATCTTAAATTTTTCGGAAACATCTGATTTTGCCCAATTTCGCTAAAATATGCAATGTTCACCCCTTACAATTTGAAATGTTTCATAAACATCTAACCCCATACAATCTGCAATTTTCCAGAAACATCTGATTTTTCCCGATTTTGCTAAAAAATGCAAGGTTAACCCCTTACAATTTGATTTTTTTTTCATAAACATCTAAGTTTGCCCAATTTTACATCTGGAATTTTTCAGAAGCATCTGATTTGGCCCAATTTTAGTAAAATATGCACTAAATTTTGCTAAGAAAATATAGAATATCGCAAATATATTGTAAAACAACACACACAATTGTATCGAAAAACATCACACATTTAATGCAAAAAATCGAACATAATATTGAAAACATCACACATATATATCGTCAAAAACATCGCACATATAAATTGAAAATCGCATATAAATGTAAAACATCGCACACATATATTGAACATCGCACATATATTGTAAAACATCGCACAAATATATTTAACATCGCGCAAATAATGAAAAACATCGCACACTTATATTGAACATCGCAAATAAATGTAAAAGATAACAAACACATATTGAACATCCAACATATATATAGCAAAATATTGAATATTGCAACGTTTGACACGCCATAGGGAATTAATGACCATACTCCTCTCTATAAGCTTGACTCACAGGAAGTGTTACATAACAATTTCTTGGGTGTCCCTCACTGTGTTATGGACTTGGTAGACTCATAACAGCCTGAGGAAAAGTAAGCACAGCGGACACATGAGCGTGTATCGTGCTCATGTAACGTGCACTGTAACGTGCTCAATTATCCGCCGCATTCACCCGGAGAATCCAGCACGCCGGAGAAGTGAGACCGTGACAACGGGTACCCGATCCCCAAATCTGGAAGCGATTCCTGACATTAGCGGTTGGGTGCAATTTCAGATGAAAATGTTTACTTTGATTATGAACGAACTTGCCTAGGAAGGCATTAAAACAATCCAGTATGATGTTTGAACCAACAAATTGGCTCATCGTCTTAAAGGGAATATACATCATTTGCTTTTGCTGTAATTTTCAGAAATGGATGGAATTGGGGGGTTGGAAATATACACCAAATATAGTTACACTGACTTTTTTGAGGTTTTGGGTTCGAAAATGCTATAAAAACCAAGAAAAACAATCATTTTTCTGTAGTCTGGTTCCCTGACTCCATTTAAGAAGAAACAGAGCAGTTTACATATATTGGGGAATTGTAAGGTCAGGGAACCAATCTAGCTGGCTTGTACCCGTTCATAGGTGTGTAATCGATTGCAAACAAGTGCGATGGTCAACTGGGGCCAGTATTTGAAAAAAAGCCAGTTTTTTTCCAACGCTGATCGGCCGATCAGCGTTGGAAATTGATACAAAAATACCACTTTTCTTGAAAATGACAGTATACCAGGTGCCATGATTTTACAGGATGCTTTACACTGTCATTCACTAACAGTCCAGCAAGGTACATGTATTTCAAAATGATTTGGAAGTTTTGTTTTTTGATGTTTGCAAATGTTGTATTTTCCCTTTAAGTAGATGCCATTTTAATTAGGGCAATATGGTAAAACCGTACACAGATTTACTGAACAGTTTTTGTTTTTACAATCGAATGAATCAACAGTTCTCCATCTCAAGTCCCTTCCTCCTCCTCATCATCATCATCACCAAATGACAGCAGAGATGCGTTCTTCACTTTCTTCCTATCATCCTTCCTGTCTCCTGACCCTTTCCTCTTGTCCTTATGCTCTTTTTTCTTCTTACTGGAGCTTGCATTCAGATCTGAGCCAGTACCCTCCTCTGATGACCGTTTGACAGGCTTCTTGAATAGAATCTTCCCGTCTGAGGGCTGTGTCTCTTCATCTGAAGAAAAGGGATAAACAATGTACCTATTATACTGAACACTTTCGGTGCCACATAATTTGACTGTTCCAGACTTGGCTAGTAAGGCCCCAAAAAAATAATAATTAGGTCTCTGGTCAGCGCGCGCGTCGATTTTAATCATGCGCGTCAATCTTTTTTTTTTCCAAAATGTTCTGCGGTATCTCCAACAGCGCCCTCTATTTCCGCACCTTCGCAATTTTTTTTTTACCAAAGAGCACCAAGGAATGAGAAATTGCACCAAGGCAAATGATCGAAAGCACCAAGGCAAATTATGGAGGACACCAATGTTCATGAGGACACCAAAAACGCAAAATAGTACCTACATGTACCTTGTCTGTACAATCCAAGCTTGAAGAAAAAAAGAAAAAAGCAAAAAAAAAAAAAAAAAAAGCCGCATGGCCACATCAATTCCGGAACTTTGGTCTGACCAGAGACCGACTATTTTTTTGGGGGGCCTAATAGTAACATTTTGCCTGTGGTTTGTGTTCATTTCTCAGAGTGTTTGTGACCACGTTTGAACAAGCTGACACAGTCACCTGACCAAGAGACACTATTTTACATATTGAGAAAAATACCCATTATTGAGGATTCCAAATGCACCTTTCTTATCCACATCCTTCATGAACTCCTCTGCCTCTGTTTGGGTCAAGTCACCATCACGAAGTACGACGACTGTTGGTTTATCGTCATCGGCTTCTGGTCTCTCGTCATCATCATCATCAAATTTGGGAATCTCTCTCTGGAACCAAAAAAATATAAGCCCTACTGAAAAACAAAATAATGAACTTAAATAAAATCTAGGAAAACATTCTGTAACAATATCTTCTTTTTAAACAACTGCCGTTTTGTCTGTTAGTGTTACTTTCACATGTACGGCATCAATTTCACATTTACTGCATCAAAATAGACGTCTGAAAAAGGGGGGGGGGTAATTTTCTATCGCTTTAAAGAGGGAGAGTGTGCTTCTAAAGCAAAAATAAACTACAAACAAAGTCTATTAAATGTGAATATAAAAATCTTGACAAAGTTCTAAATGTTCGGGTACATGTTCCAAGTGTGGCCTTTATTTACGGAGGTAGTCCAGTAAATTGGCCACATTTATGGGGCTCACATGTACAACCTGACTACATTGCATGCACTTTAATAGACATTGACAGAGAACTGACTGCTCCGACTACCATGACTGCCCCTTTAATTTAATTGTAAGGTTTTCTCTCACCTTTGTTTCAACACTTGGACCTTCTTTGTAGCCTGCATGTTGCTTGAATTTTGTCAGAAAGCTTGGTTCACTTGGCTTAACATAATTAATACCAGATGGACGACCAGCCATCTTCACAAAATATATGGAAACACTGCAAAATAGTCGAATTTTTATTCTCCACTTGTGATTACCTACCGCTAGCAGACGACATAAAGATGGCTCGATCAAAACGTTCTTTTCTTAATTCTCTTTACGCATTGCAAATAGTACGTTAAAATTAAAACAAATACATTTTTATAATATAATTTATAATTTACATTATACAATATTTTTATTCAGTATCTCATTGATAAAATTCTTAAATATTACGGAAGAATAAATACAATTAATTTGAAAGAGCCTTGATTGAGTTCGCCATATTGAATTTGCAGGTAGCGCCAAAATTGAAATTTTCATTTCAAGTTCAACCCTGAAAATACATTATTTGCTGACTGTTCATAGAGCCTAACTGCATTAAAAAACGGAAAAGAATGTCGTCAGTAGGTGAGTGAAATCCCGTTTATTAACTTATCGTTTACGAAAAAGTTAAGTGGGATTTTTAAGTTGGAAAGAATATTGCAACCGGACGCGCCGCGCGCTACTTAAGTTACTTCACAGCGGTTGTACTGTGTACAAAGTCTATGGACTTATCGAGGGCGATCGTGTATGGGGTACGGGCCCGGTTCCTTAATAAGGGAATAAATGTGTGCTCCGGAGGTTTTTATCACTCGTTTAATACCGCTTAGAGTCTGGGTGCTGATAATTACCCGAGCCGGAGGCGAGGGTAATTATCAGCACCCAGACTCTAAGTGGTCTTAAACAGAGTGATAAATACCGACGGAGCACATATTTATTCCCATTCATAAATACCTTTTCGGTAAGAAAAAATTATATAATTCGTTCAAAACATCCCGATTTTGTTCAACAAATTCACTTTATGCTTTTTGAAACATCCCTCTTGCAAAATAATGGAGTGTTCAGCTGGCGAGTAAGATGTAAACAACCCTTTTAAAAAAGTTTTATGGAGATTGACGCGCGCGTATCATGTTCTGCGCGATGTCGCGCAGAACGCACCTGGCGCGTTGCGTTTTGAATTTAGAACTATAAAATTCTGACTCCCTGGTAGTGTTGCGCATGCCTACGTGAGGATTGTGAACGTTCAACCAATGAAACGATAAGAGGCACTGGATTTTTAGGAGTCCAAATTTTATTATGACACTGGAAAAGTGTTTAAGACCAGCTAGCCATGTCTTTATCATCCGTTTAAGACCGGCCACGTGACGGGCTCTCGACCAATAGGAATAGCTAAATTGTCTGAGGTATTTATGAATAATAGTTTAAGGCCTATAAGGGAACAAATTCCACTTTTAAATTATTTGACCTACCAAACTAGTCTGCGACCAGCGACATTAAGAACATACATGTATGTCATAGATAAAAGGGCAGGGGTTTGAATTTGGAGGGAAATTTTGGGGTAAAAAAAAATGACGATGATTGACAACGACAGAACGCAACACATGGCGGTCACCGCTCGATGTACATTTGTACTGTGCGCATGCAAGTCACGCTTCACCACACCAACCGGCCCGTAAACCTCGAAGGAAAATCTTAAAACAGTGATATAAAAAGATATTAGGCAGTTAGGCCTACACGAATGATTAAAACTTTAAGCTTTCCGCACCTTATGCTGAATATGACGCAATAGGAAAAGGAGTGGTGTTTAAATTCGCTCCCACCAACGTCTCAGAAGTCTCCCATTGACCAATCCACAGCTTAGTCCACATTTCTAAAGTCACAATTTCTAAAGACCACTCCTATTGGCTGGCACATGGGTTCGCATAAAATGTACATGCTACGATGTGTATCAGAGGTTCGTACCATGGCTCTGCCCACGGCCACGTGAATGTCTGAGCCTCAGACTAACTGAGATAGGGCTGGGTGTGCAATTCGATTTTTGTGTGTTATTGATCAAGCTTGTCTTAAAGAACAATCAACATAAATCTTTTTTATATTTTTTCATACAGTACCAAAGCTCATTCGTGTTAGAATGGCTGTAATTTGTTTAACTGTGCCATCACTTGAATATAACACTGATTTTGATTCGATCTGAGTCATTTAATACTAGCAAATGAATAGTGAGATAATCAGTTTATTTGTTTATGTTTTGTTTCTTTCTTTTTTTATTTCATGCTTTCCTCTATCATCCAAAAGACAACTCAAATGGCAGGTAAGATGGACTGATTTATTTTATTCTTAAGGTGTTACCATTGTCTATTGGTTATCACTTAAACTTAACCAAAGTGAAATTTTCAATATCTCTATTGTAATTGGTTCAAAGCAGAATGTTCCAAGGCTTTTTTTATTGTGAACATTGTTTGAAAATTGAACTTCACAAAAAATAAATGAACTGATATTTGGAGTAATGACAAATTAAAAATACATTAGCATTAAACGAAAAAGCTTTGTTCAGTGTTTATTGAGATTTTTCACTTTCTAGTAACAAGCACATATTGTGTAGCCATAAATCACAGGCTTGCTCATGCTGCTGATGTTTTAATAAAGGAATAAATATGTGATTGGCCAGTTCTAAAGAAGTCCATGTACATGTACATGTAAGATTGGCTGGGGAATGGATGCTGGTAATAGCTCAAGCCGAAGGCGAGGAATATAATTGGCGACCAGGCCCCCAGCCGCAGTATTAAACGGACTTGTTTAATACCGACCAAGCACATATATATTCCCATTCATAAATACCTTTTCAGTCAAAGAATCAAGATAAGTGTACAAAAATATAAATTATGTCCAACTGTTTTGTTCAACAATTTTACTTTTTTTTTTTTTTAAACCCCTCTAGATTTGTTATGATATGTATCTCTCACGAGTAGTTGTCAACAACTCCTTATTTGGAGATTGTCGCGCGTGCTGTGCGATGTGGCGCCGAAGCAGCTTTGACAGTGTAGTGTGAGTTTAGGACCATGAAATTGGTTGTATTGCGCATGCCTAAGTGAGGATTGTGAACGTTCAATCAATGAAAGGGTAAAAGGGACCAGATTTCATAGGAGTCCAAATTGCATGACACTGGGAAAGTGTTTAAGATCAGCCAGCCGGTGTTTTATCAACCCTTTGAGACCGGCCACGTGACGGGCTCTCGATGAATATGAATGGGTAAACTGTCTTAGGTATTTATGAATAAAAAATTTTAACAATTTGTTTTTCATATTCTGTTTACGTTTCAATTCAGCAATGGAGATTCCATCAAGGTTTATCTGCGAGTCCGTCCGCCTGACCAAGACAATGCCATAGACTCAGGCCAGATACTGACCGTTCAGCAACCGGACGTGGTAATCTTGCCATGTAAACCGGAGCCTAAGGTCTACACCTTCGACCATGTGGCTGATATACACACTACACAGGTAGGCATTAGTGTTGTGCAAACCAGACCCGAAACCAACCCAACCCGAAACCAACTTTGGGTCTAGTTTGGTCGGTTTTTCCATCATTTCTGTAGAGTCTGGTCGGTTTCGATTTTGCGTTCGCAGTTTTTCAGGTCGAGTCAGGTCGTTTAAGCACTTTTGGAAAAACCTGAGATGAACCACCAAAAAAAAAAAAAAACGTTTAGAAAGTCATATGATGCAATATTTATTGCAGACTCACTGTGCCTGGTATGACTAAAGCCCTGTCCGCACTGGACTTTTTTTTTGGAAGGTTTTACCGAGACGATGGTAAAATGAGAAATGGTCAAATGTGACCACTGTCCGCACTTGGACTTTCGACACAGGAAAATTTACCCAGACCGCGTGGGAGAAGTAACCGAGCTGTCACAGTGTCAGTAAAATGACTCACCGTACACAGAAAACAAATTGCCGATCACATTTTCAGCCGCCGATACGCACAGTAATATTACACATGCCATTTGCATGCACAACATAATCGTTTACACGATATTATTTCATCTTGACACGCTAAATCTTGACGAAAAGGCCTATAATTCTGACGCATTTTGTGATGCACGTCGTCGAAGCCATGCCGCTGTACGATGTTCCGTGCGGCAGCAGTGCCATCAGTTTTCGTTGGTTCCCATCGCATGCTTACAGAATCGAAGCTATGATGTGGGCAGGAACCAGTGACTACGGCCTACGTACGGTACCGGACCATGATGTTCCGTGCATGACTACAGTAGCGTATCAGGACGAATTTGGATCGTGAAAAATAACATACATCGGTGGAGAAAGAGAATTTCCGCAAATTAATTCTCAGAACGTGATCTCTCTTCTCTGTGTATGTATTTTTGTCCGTTGAAATATATATTTTAACGAGATTTTACCGCTTGCAGCGTGTTTCTACAAAATGTTCGGCCACCGCACGTGCAGTTTCGTGCGGTCTCTGTATGCATAACAGGGCGCTCGGGCCGGATGTACGCTTTCCTGAGCCGCTTTTACCGACTCACACTGTCCGCACTGGACTTATCGTCTCGGGAAAAGTGACCTGGTCAGTTTTCCTGGGCGCGTGGGAAGTTTTCCTGGGCAGCAGTTGGCCAGTAAAAGTAACCGCTGGACTCAGGAAAAGTAACCGAGAGGAAAACGTCCTAGGCTGTCCGCACTGGACTTAAAATGGGAAAAGTACCCATAGTCTCGGTTAGTTTGACCAAAAAAAGTCCAGTGCGGACAGGGCTTAAGTGTGGTTTGCGGTCTATCATCAGGCATCCAACTTTTCCTCGGATCCATTGATTTCCTTGTTTATTACTTCACATGAATGCCATTACAAGTTGAAAAACACTGTACAAAGTCTTGTGTGGCTTGGAATGTCCTCGTTTTTTCCTAAATTCCCAGTTGCATGCCTGCTATCATGCACGGTCTATAACATGCAGGCTCACACAATAGGTCACGTTGTGAGTACCGTACGATATGATTCTTTACTGAGAGGCGACGATTTTAACGCGACGCGGGTAAGTTCAGGCACCAAAAGTAGACACAGTTGCGGGTTTGTTGGGTTTCAGTCTGCAACTCTCTGAAGTAGAAAACAAAGCGACACACATTGTTTGACAGTTCGACAAAAATCTGTGTTTTGCAGGAAGCAGTATTTGCTGCCGTTGGCAGGAGGACAATTGAAAGCTGTGTGGCCGGCTACAATTCCACCATTTTCGCCTAGTAAGTACAAAGTCTGAAGGATCAACAAGTAGCAATATGGATTACATGACACATACTCGGGCTCTCATAAGAGTGTGTGAGTATGTAAACACTGGCAATCGTGGGCTAGGGACAAAAGACTAGGGCACAAACAAAGGGTCCACGAATCACTGATAGTCCACGATTGAAATTCGTGTACAAAACCAACGACAGCTGTTGCTGAAAAGTACAAACAAAGGAATGAGGATTAGGGACAATAGGGGTCCATGATTGCCGGTGTTAACAAAGATGCCTGTGTTTTTTTTATGGTGTAAATGGAGGACACACAGGTGCAACATCGATGAATTGCGGACAAGAACCAAATGGAGGACGACCTCGATTAGAAAATGTGTACAAAACCAATGAGAGCTGTTGCAAAAAAGTTAAGAGTATAAACAAAGAAAAGGGAAGAGGAACAATAGAAAATCCTCGAGTTACACCATAAACAAATGTGGGTATATGTGTTCATCTTTTCAAACCATGGATGAAAAATACCAGAGAACAAAAGAGAACAATATCGTCCGCGATTCCCAGCATACGTCCGCGATTGCATCCATACGTCCGTGGATGAAAAAATACCAGAGAACAAAAGAGAACAATATCGTCCGCGATTCCCAGCATACGTCCGCGATTGGGGTCGTGTACAAAACCTATGGGGGTCTTCCTAAAAAGTTAGAGTACAAACAAAAGAGGGACAATAGGACGTCCATGATCGACGGTGAACACAAGTTTGTGTGAGTTTGTCTTACATTCACTATGTGGACTTGTTAACAAAAGATGTCCACATAATGCAGGTTGTGTTGACGTTATGTGGACTAAGCCGTATCCACATAACGTTTCGTGTAGAACAGGTTTAGAGGCATTTTTAGGTTAGGTTTATCTGTGGCAGAATGAAGAGAAACACTATAGGGAATCATAGAAAAAAATTGGGTTGAAAGAGTTTTCACAGTTTAAGTAAAGTTATTTTTTGTACCGATTTTTCTTAACTACACGAAAACAAAGGAATGTCCACATAGCGTACCCTACCGCTCAGAAATACGTACCCTTTTCGCGATCGATTTACCGCGAAAATTCCTTTGCGAACGGTGCGCTATTTTAAAAGCATAACTTGCCTAGGGTTTTTTTTTCGTTCGCGAAAACAACACAGATTTCGCAAAAGTGCTGCCGCCGCCCATATTCGCGCAAATCCATTCGCGAATGCAGCGTAACAAGTTTTGCGGGTTGTGAAAATGTAAACTACCGATATATATAAAACAAACATGTGTGAGTTTGTGTGTGTATGGAACTGACTACATTCGTGCACTGCTGGGTGCGTGCACAGTGGGTGAAGTATACACAATCAAACTCTTTGTCCTCTGGCTGACAAATGGACCTGTTTGCTAATAAATTCATTTTTTTAAATTTCTTTTGAGTGTAATCAAGTGTAGAACATATGTTTATATTCCTTTCCAATGTTCTGTCACTTCTAGTGGACAGACAGGATCAGGCAAGACGTTCACAATGATGGGTAAGTCAATTCTTTCTGAATAACTAACGACTTTTCATTAAAACCTTTTTTTTTGACAAAACGGTTTTTCAACCCTTTTACTTTCAACCGTCCTCCAGTAATTTGTGCAGATTTTGTTTAGAAAGCGAACTACTCTAACCTCAGTTCTGGTTGCTGGATAAATTTTCATTGGCAGACTAAGCTTCATCTCTCCAATCCATTCCAGTAGATTTGAAGAAAATGATATTACATGTACTTGCTATGAACAGACCACTCCAGGTTTGACCACAAGCCCTGCCCAACTTTACTCTTCTAAGCAAAAGGAAATATTTTTGCCTAACGTGACTTTACGTTTAGAAAATAGTATTCTTAATAAGGTTTCTTGTACCAGGTTCTTAGGACTGGAAACGGACAAAAACATGCTTTGGAAGGAACAAATCTCTTCAATATGTAATAAGATTTCCAAAGTTAACTACATCCTTAATAGAACTAAGAATTTTTTGAGGATTAAAGACAGTTTGTCTATTTATAATACATTGGTTAATTCTTATTTAAATTATGGAGTCTTGGCTTGGGGTGGCATGTATAAGGTTTATCCTTCTTTTTTTAGTAGACTTGTAACACTACAAAAGAAATGTATAAGAAATGCCTGTCATGCTAAATACAATGCGCATACCACTCCACTTTGTAATAAATTTAGAATTCTTAAGTTTGGTGATGTATTTAATGTACACATTGTTACTCATTATTACGATTACTTTCATAAACTACTTCCTGAGAATTTAAGCCATCAGTCTTTTTTCCCACTAAACCAGGACTTGCACCATTATTCTACAAGACAAAGTAATTGTATTCATTGTAGTAGTACATTTAGACTGGACATAACATCAGCTAATTACCGTAATATTTTGCCTCGAATTGTTAATGGGCTTCCTGATCAACTTAGACTTCTTCTGATCAGTTCATCCAAAAAGCTTTTTGTTAAACACCTCAAGGAATTCTATTTAAATAAGTACAATGATTTTGTTTGTACAAATCTTAACTGCTACTCGTGCCTACATTCAGCAAGACGTTAATTCCTTTTTTCCCTATTTTTTTCTCCTTTATGTATACGACTTTTATGTTTTTGTATGTGCTCACTTTATGTTTGAACTTACTACATTTATAAACTCTACCTGGGATCTCATTGTTTGCATTATTCCAAATACATGTAGTTTACTTTGACCGCAGTCTCGGGTGCTCCACTACAGAAGGCCAGTCCTTCTCTGGATGCCACCCCCATTCATGCTGTATTGTTCTGCTTTTTCTATTTTGATACACTTGTTTTGATCATTAATCTTTATTCATTGTATGTTTGAAGTATGAATGGAAATAAAACAAACAAACAAACTTTGGTTTTTGTACAATTTGCTTTTGACCGGGATTGACCAAGCTATCATGGTCACCTTTAAAGTCCACTGTAACTTTTGTTACATTTTTAATAGGCACTTTGACGTGAACGAAAGAGTCCCACAACTTAATGCATTGGTTTCAACTGTCAAACTTCGAACACTGTAACGTAGTCTGTTTGAACATATGAATACAATATATACATACATATACCCTAAAATTGTGGTAACTTTCGTTATGGTAACTTACGTTACAGTTTGTCGGCCCATCTTTGGTACAAGTTTAATAATTTAAGAAACTAATAATCAATCAAAAAACTCCTTGGCCTAGAATATATGTCAAACCTTTTTCTCTGTCTTACAATCAAAACCTCACACACTTGCATTTTGCATGTGAAAACAAGGTGCCAAAATGAATACCTAAAACCATACGTTTAGGCCAAATACCAGTTTGACAACAAAAAAAAAAATGCTTAAAACCATATTCCACCTCACTGGCACATCATTCCAATTAAATGAAAGGTCTTGTTGTCCACTTTAATTAGTTACCACGTTTTGGGCTATGGTGCCTAATTCTTTTAGCCTAACTGCCCTGAATCCTTCAAAATCCTCTCTGCCAAAGTGAAGGAATTTGGAGGATTGAGGTTGCATGGGAAAAGTGCATTACTGATTTTGTAGAATACACTTTGTCAAGGTCTTGGGCCGGAACTTGTGTTGTTTTTGCTCAGCAATGCATAAATATAGGCCTGGATTATGCTTGAAATCCTCCGTACTGCTCCAGGATATCACTGGCCAAGCCTCAACATATTGATTGTCACTGCCGCAGGATTTTGCAGGATTCAGGCAGTGGTCACCCCTCCATGGACCACATTCAAAAAATAACGGAGGAATTTGCAGGATTGAGGCTACATCCTAGCAAATATAGGGAGTTACGTTAAATTAAGATTTCATAAACTTTCTATTTTTCAGCCATGTCCACATTCTCACGGAATTGGCCTTTTCCAAACTTTGTGGTGACATTGACTGATGCGCACTGTTTAATAGACTGAGAGGAAGAGTTCATTCATTTGAAAACAAACTAAATATTGACTTGTATCTGACAAATATTCTTTGTCTGTTCATTCTCAGGACCTGATGAGGCTGATAATTTCCACCATGAACTGAGAGGTGTCATCCCTAGAAGCTTTGAGTACCTGTTCAGTCTCGTCAACCGAGAGCGTGAAAAGGTACCGATATCACATGGTTTATCCTGACAAGGCATTTCCCTCAATTCTTAACGGGCAATACCAGCGTTATGCAATGTCTGTGACAGAAGCATTTAGGAGCTCCCAGAATAAACCAGAAAATATATATTTTAAACTTATACGTGTACATCCATCATCTGGTGATGGTGGTGGAGATTACAGTTTTGGATCATTTCTCTGAATCATTATTTAGATAACATGGTTAAAGGGAAGATACAACATTTGCAAACATCAAAAACCGAAATGATCAAATTGTCACGAAATATCTTACTGGATTGTTAGGGAATGACAGTCTAAAGCATCCTGTAAAGTTTGGCTCGTGGTGTGCTGACATTTTCAAGAAAAACTGTATTTTTCCAACGCTGGTCGGCCGACCAGCGTTGGAGAAAACTGGCTTTTTTCAAAAAGTGCTCTTACTATTTTATATTTAGTTCCTCTGCATTTTCTTTGCAATTGATTACACACCTGTGAAGACTACAACCCTGCTAGACTGATTCTCTGATCTTACAATTCCCACAAAACTATAAATTACTCCGTTTCATCTTAAGTGGGGTCAGGGAACCAGACTACAAGAATATGATTGGTTTTCTTGGTTTTTCCAGCATCTACGAACCCAAAACGTAAAACAAGTCATGGTAACAATATTTGCTATAACATACTAATCCTCCAAATCCATTTATTTCTGAAAATTGCAGCAGAAGCAAATGTTGTACATTCCCTTTAAGTGGCTCTGTCATGGATATTACACTTCCTTTCGTAACGCTGGAATCTCCCTAATACAAAGTTACTTTTGCATGTACAATGTACCATCAGTTAACCCATACATGTATGGGTACTTACGGGGTACGGAGAACTAGGAACAACTGTAGGGTCAGTGGTACCCCGCAAGTTGGTCTTTAGAAATCTTGATACCCCACAGCAGAAAAGCCATAGGGTAAGGGATTCCAATAGAAACAAAGGAGAATAATACAATAGGGTTCCCAATTCCCAAAGTCCCCAATTTGGCGATCGTGTACAAAACATATGGGAGGTATTCCTAAAAAGTACAAACACAAGAGGGACAATAGGGGGTCCCCGATTGCAGGCAAATGCACACTTGTGTGTACACGTGGGAGTAAACTGAGAAATGTATGCATAATTCAAAATAAAGTCAAATATTAAACATGAAGGTCACCGCCCTGTTTGCACCACTGATCTCTATATAAAGACTGGATAGCGGATAAAGAGCCGCACAATGAATGAATTGATGCCATATTGGTGAGACCAGTGAGACCGGCTGGTGATCTACAAAGGACAAGTTGCTGTCTTTATGGGCATCATGATTACTTTTGTAACTTTGGGGTTCACTTGACTTATATTTTGACCACTACCACTGACCACGGTTTACAATTTCTCTAACGTCGTGGTTTACTTTTTTTAATGCCGCAGTTCACTTTTTCGGTGTTTTGGAAATAATAATCACTACGGAAATTTGTCCTGTTTACAACATCATAATACGTGTACGTGACAAAAAGGCGCGTCAACTCTTGATACAGCGCGCGCTGTATATACGCGTAGAACGTTCGTAATGTACGTGGCCATCTTCGTGAGACTGGGGGCGAATTGGTCAATATGCAAAGTCTACTGTGTGACTGGTGTATGGATATCCGCTATCCAGTCTTTATATAGAGATCAGTGGTTCGCACATGTAACCTCTTTAAATATTTGGTGTGTGACTGCAGCAAGGGGAGAGATTTGAGTTCCTGTGTCGGGTGTCGTTCTTGGAGATCTACAACGAGCAAGTCTTTGATCTGTTGGACTCTGCCTCCTCCGGCCTTCAGCTGAGGGAGAACTTCAAGCGAGGTGTCTTTGTGGATGGACTCATCGAACAGGTGGTCAGCAATCCCAGTGATGCATTCCAGGTACGGTGTCACCTCAGATATCTGTCTAAGTATCTAGGCTTGGAAGCAAAATTGTCAAATGACAGCAAGTATTTAGAGGGTCCACGCGATGAATTTTTTCTTAGGAACACATTTTGTGCAACTTTCTACTCCTCTTTAATGATTCAGAGAAATGTGACCTGTCACCACAGAATGAGCATAAAGTTGGAAATTGCCATTTTGCAGAACAGTGGGGCAAAGCCAACATTTGAAGGGGTCGTCATTTTTTGTTTTCAAGTCAACCCCATTGTGCATGTCCTGTTCTACCTTTCTCGATTGTTTTTGTTCGATCAAACATAGTATGTTTTACAGGATATTTACAATGTAAAAGCAATTTTCTCAAAATTCACTTTTTACAAGTAAATTGAGTTGGCAGCTTATATTTCCATTACTGAACTCAGTTCCCCCATATAATAATTAACCATAAGAAAGCTCATTTTCTGCAGAATCCAGATATACTAATGTCTCAATTCCTAAAATGTTCGACTTGATGCTCATTTTGAGATGACAGGTCACATATGATCCAAAACTCCTAGTCTGTAATCTCCTGTACCATTACTACACAGCCATATGGTTGCGAAGGCAAAGCATGGCCCGTTGATAAGCAAAGTTAATCAGATTACAGTAAACTCCGGCTAAGACGGCACTCTGGGGACCAGAGAATTTGTGACGACTTACGCGAATGTGGGTTTTTGCTGCAAGTCGTCATTTTGCCGACTTACACAAATACACAAATTGAATCACGGAGTGAAAAAAATAGATTGAATTAATGGCTTGTGTGCATCTGTATCTGGATCACGCAAACAAGATTCATGGCTAAAATTCAAAGGCTTTGATTTACCCTGGTAAATTAATTTTCAAAGAAATTAATTTTCAAAGATTTCGCCCGCCAACGTGAACTGTATGCATGTAGTTTCATTCAAAATGAAGTGTTCGGTAACCTTTAGAAATCGCCATTTTCCAACCATACGGCTGCACATATGTAGATGATGGATATATAAGATTTGAAAAATACATTTTTTCAGGTTTATTTACTGAGCTCTTAAATGCTGTGTCATAAGACAGCACATAGTGCTGGACTTGCCCATATACATGTACTGAATAGGGTAAATAATTAAAGCTTGCTTGTTACAAATTGTGGTTGTATGTTAAAGGGAATGTACATCATTGGTTTTTGATGTAATTTTCAGAAATGAACTATTTGAGGGGTTAGTATACATAGATGAAATATTGTTACACTGACATTTTTGAAGTTTTGTGTTTGAAAAGGTTGGAAAAACCAAGAAAAACAAAAATGTTTAAGTAGTCTGGTTCCCTGACTCCACAAAAGATAAAATGGATCAATTTATAGATGATGGAAAATTGTAAGACACGGGAACCAGTCTAGCTGGCCTGCACCCGTTCATGAAATATGTAACCAATAGCAAACAAAATTTGGACTGAAAAAATGGTTAATTTGGAGCAGTAGTTGAAAAATAGTTAGGTTTTTCCAACGCTGGTCGGCCGACCACCGTTGAAAATGTATACAAAAATACCATTTTCTTGAAAGTGACTTCACGCCAGGTGCCATAATTTTACAAAAAGCTTGAGACTATCATTTACCAACATTCTAGTAAGGTATTTCGTAAAAACTTGGTAGTTTTATTTTTTGATGTTTGCAAATGTATATTCCCTTTAAACACTTGTTGTGGTATAAATTCTAAGGAATACATGGTTTTTGTTGTTTTTTAACTTCCAGGTCTTGTCAACGGGCTGGTTGAACCGAAGGGTGGCTTCTACGTCCATGAATAGGGAAAGTAGCCGCAGTCACGCCGTCTTCACATTCACAATACAAACAAAGGTAAGTTGAGTCGCTGCGACTCATGCTGTTTGTAAATGGCCAGCGTACGGTACAATGAAATACCACTGACTGCCATTCCTCCAGCATTGGATTTGAAGCAGCCAGCTGACCCTATCAAGTGCGTACAATGGTGGGGTTATCAAGACATCTGTGGCAATTATCAGGAGGTTGTTGGCTTGCTTCCTACTTGAAAAATCTTAAAAGGTTTCAAATCCCACCCGAACCCCCCCCCCCCCAGAATTCCCCCAATTGTTTATTTCTACTAATATTTTGGAGACCTGGGTCCAGTATCATGGCTCTGCTTACCATAAGCGAAAAATCCCTGCTTACTGTGGCAGAAAATCTGTGCTTATGGTTAAGCCTATTTCATGGGTTAGCGAGGAATTTTGGCTTATGCACATCCTGTAACTAAGGATTCTGTGCTTGCGTGGTTAGCACAAAATGTTTCTGCTAGTGCTGTTAGCACAGAATGGTGATCGTAAGCGTGGAATTCGGTGGTTAGCAGCGCCATGAAATTGGGCCCTGCTAATAGGGTTAAGTTGGTTGTTAACCTGTTACATTGCAGCCAAGAGCCTCCTTACGAATGATTATGTCACAAGATTTTCTTTACAAAGAAGTTGATTTGAGCAGGGTTTGAACCTGCAACCTTCGGATGGCTGTTCTGGTGCTCTGCCAACTGAGCGATCCTGTCCTATGTGCCTTCACTGTACATAGGGCTGCATAGCTTCCTTGGTAGAGCACCAAAACGACAATCAATTCTTTGTTCAAGATTGAGTATTTTGGAGATTTTGCGGAATTGCCTCAATTTTGTAAAATTGGTGTCAAACGTCCGCAAGACATCACTCTCCAACTCATCAAGGCTTAGCACACACACAACATAAGATTGATTATAAAATAAGTAGGGTTCATCTGGTATAGGGCTCATTCAATGACTGCCATCTCTGTAGGAGAACTGCAACTGCATATTTTATGCAATCAAGCACGCATTGCTCAGTGTTAAAAATGTTCCAAACACGCGCGCTTGTTGCCCGAAATGTGTTCGAAATACGACGCAGCCGATGCCCGTTATGCAAGTTGATGCTCAAAATGCCAAAGCATGATGGTCTGTACTAAATGACGTCATTTGAACGAGACCCATTATTCTTACTAAAAATGTTGAATGTTATGATTTCGTTTAAATACTTGCACTTTATAGGAGAAGAAAGCTGGGGTATCCAACATCCGAGTCTCCCAGCTGAATCTGGTGGATTTGGCCGGTAGCGAGCGTCAGAAGGACACCAAGACGTCGGGCATACGACTCAAGGAGGCCGGCAGCATCAACAAATCCCTGCTGACTCTGGGTCATGTCATCACCGCGCTGGTGGACATTGGCCACGGGAAGACACGACATGTGCCGTACAGAGACTCCAAACTCAGCTTCCTGCTCAGGGTGGGTGTATGTTTAATGCTAGGGTCACACATTCCCGAATTAGTTGCGGATGCAACCAGAATAAGCCAAGAATTGAAATTGGTTCCCGAATCACCCCGACAATTTTGAACATGTTCAAATTTGTCGGGGTGCTTCCCGATCTTTCAGGGTCTTTCACTGAACTAACAGAATCATCCCGAGGCAGCCAAGAACCATCCAAGATTTACTCAAGAATTGCTTTTCTTGGTGATTCGGCTTTAAAATCGGGAATGTGTGAACCTAGCATAAAGGCATAATAGGATCATTTGCATTTGTTCCAAAAGTAACCAACCAAATTATTATCAAAAAGTTCACTTGGATTAAAACCTCCTGCTGTTTTGAACAGTCACAGACAGTAAATAAATTCAATCTTCTTCCCCTGCCATGCCTTGTACACTGGCTAGTCACCAACAGTCAGATCATATTTCAAACAAGCACTGTGACCAGTCAAATTCAGTCAACAGACAAACGCAGGCAAGAATTTGACACAGCTGGCTTATCAATCACCTACAGTCAAAGCATAGCCGCATCAAGTTACATAAAACAGTCATAGCCAGTCAATCCTGCTTTATGGACCAACAAAATTTCCAAAAATGTGTCACTTGACGTCTTTGGAAATGACATTCTTTTATTGTTTTCTTCAACATGACAGCATGCCAGAAGGAATAATTTTACTGGGATTTTAGTGCCATTACTATCTTTAAACCTAGTAAGCTTTTCAACAATGATTTTGTCGGTTACTTTTTGGATAGCTGCAAATGATCCTATATGCCTTCAAGATGTGGACGGCTGCTCCACATACATCAGTGCAAGGACAAAACACAGTATGAGAACATTTCCAAAAGAAAGGAAACAAAAAGCGTTTCCACAAACAATGTTTCCGAGCCAAAACTTTTGAATTTTTGTTTTTATAATATTGTTGCGTTCCCGCAAATTGCGTAGTTTACTTCTTTCCACACCAATCCATTCCACTCCGTGCACAGCGTAATGCTTGCAGCGATCCTGTGTGCCCTCACACAGCGCGAAGCTTACCACGAAGTCTTAGACACACGTATAAGTGTGCAGCACACTGTACAGTACGCTATTGTATAGCGCGCAATGCGTGTAGCACTCACTGCTATTGAACATGTACCGCCATGGGACATGTACTTAGGACTTGGCCATTTTCCGTCCACCTTTCCCCGGAGTCGATGCGAATTCCCCTCACACACCTTACCTCGCATCCGACCCACATTGACCCCGAGCATTTAGCGAATGTGGCTCGCTAAAACCTACCCGTGTATTCACCCCTTAGTGACCCCGTACACCCCAGCGAGTGTGTCCCGCTAACCCACTGGCCGAGAACTACGGTAGCTAGAGGTCGGGTTACGTCCTTCATCTCATAGTTTTACTCCATAGCATTAGTGTGTAGATTCTTACCTAGTCTAGAGACTAAGTCTTGTACACAAACCTATGTACCGAGAAGTTATTCCCTTTCCCTTTTCCTTGAGGATCAGTTCCCCGTAAGGCACCCACGAGTGATCGTACTTCGCCCGCTAACCACTGCTCTCGGACTTTCTTCCACTAGAATGTCCAAGTCAGTCGTGTACAAATCTCCCATAGAGAACTTTCCCCGTGCCTTTGTACACGGATGCATTATTCATAACTACTAGAATCCAATGCTCCCATTGGCTAAGACGCGCCCCCAAAAGTCTATATAAAGCGCGCAGAAATAGTAATTCTGGTCATTGTTGTACTGGGCTCTTCCCCAGTAGGTTCCTGAGCTCTGACCTACACAGAGCTCCCGCACGTATGATGCGTTAGATTGTTGCTCTGGGCTCTGACCCCGACAGAGTTCCTGACATGTACACATGTACGCCTTAACTTTACATTGTATATAGTGCGCCCTCTATTGACCTGAGATGTAAATAATCACGAATAAAGTACTAGAGTGTGTGTGTAAGATATTTGTATCTGACTCTTTATTTGATAATGTCTCTCAACCCAGAGAGACGTTACACTGGTGGCAAGCGCTGGGATACGAACTTACACACACCATCGAACTATACCATGACTTTTAATTAAGTCACTCCATGTACCCCTCCACTGAACGGATCTCCCAGCTTTAGACTCTGACTTTCTGCACGGTCAATATCAGCAGCCAACATGCCTGCCAAGCGAAAATCTCGCAGGTTACAGTCGTTGTATGATGATGATGACACCAACCTGTATTCAAGTCTACAGGCAGAGAGTGCAGAACTCCAAGAACTTAAAAAACAGTTCGAACTTTTCAAGCTTCGTTCAGTGGAGGCGGAGAAAGAGCTGAAACAACTCCGAGCAACTGCTGCATTACACAGCCCATCAACGGCTGAGCAGACAGATGCCAATGTTTCAGCGAAATCGCCCAAGGACTCACAGCCAGTGATGTCCGCTCCCAGTACTGCCCCTTCCACCGTTCCAAAAGCTGACGCCCCTAAACCAACAGAAGCAGAGCAAGCAGAGCCCCGTCCTCTCCGAACCCAGCCGAGTCATAAGCTGGATGTTCCTCTCCCTCGCCAAGGAGAATTCGACGGCACGAAGTCATGGGAAGGCTTCGTCCGACCTCTGATGGGTCTCGCCGAGGCTTGCGGCTGGTCCGAGGAAGAAAAGCGCTTCCGACTTGTCAGCAGTCTACGTGGAAAGGCGGCCGAGTACGTGTACCAGCAACTGGATCCCGAAGCAATCAAGTCGTCCGACACCCTGGTGAAGGAGCTTGGTAAACGATTTGGCGAACGACAATTGCCAAATTACTACATCGCTCAGCTAGAAGCGAGGAGACATCAGCCGAAGGAGAAGCTGGCGGAGTTTGTAGCCGACATTCGCCGCCTCGTCTTCCGTGGCTACCCTACGGCAGATCCAGTTACCAGAGAGAGCATCGCCCTTCGCCATTTTCTGAAGGGCCTCCCCGACCAACAGATGGCAGTTTCCGTTGGCATGACGAATCCCAAGTCCCTTGAGGAGGCAACAACGGCGGTGGAAAACTTCCTGAGCCTCCGTGACACCACAAGCTTGGGAAAATCACATCGTGTGAACACCGTACAGGCAGCATCTGAGGCTGATCCCGGGTTCGTCAACCAAAAGCAGTTTAAACAGTTCCAAGACAACCTCGACCGACGGTTAAACGGAATTGTCAAACTGATCAAAGATAAGCCCGCCTACAAGCAGAAATCCGCCAAGCCTGCTGAAGCCAAGAAACAGCAGATGGATGTTACTTGTTTCAAATGTGGCAAGCCCGGCCACTTTGCAAACAAGTGCCCCGACTTAGCGGCCAAGGAGGTCGTCGTCATACAGACGGAAAACTAACGCGGACCGTGCCGTCCGGCCTGGCACCGGTCCGTCCCAATGAACAGAACACTATCCGAATGGGTAGACAGCAATTTCAAGGCATGTCTGCATTTTTGCGAGTGCAGATATGCGACCAAGACAGCGAACTTTTAGTCGACACCGGAGCGGCGGTGACCATCATTTCTTCAGCACTTTTCAGCCAGATCCCTGCTGAAAAACGCCCTGAACTCAAACCCCCGTGCAAAAGCACAAAATTAGAAACTGCAAACAAGGAACTCATTGACATTGAAGGTGTTGCCACAATCGACATGATGATTGGTGAACAGCACTTCCATTGGGATGCATTTGTCGCCCCCATCAGCGATGAAGGAATCCTTGGCTATGACTTTCTATACCACTATGATTGCATATTGGAGGCACGCAACGGCATACGAATTGCCGGTAAATGGGTTCAGTGGACAGTCCAAGGAGCCCCTCCCCGTGTAGTTAAGATCGCACTGAAGCAGAACACTACAATTCCAGCATGCAGCGAGTGGGTAGCAGAGGGCATAGCTGATCATCACAAACTGAGTTCCATGTATGCAGTCGTTGAACCTGCCAACCTTCGTCACAATGTTGTGGTTGGCAGTTCACTCATTGATCCCCGCCGAGAAGACATCGGCATACCTGTCCGACTTGTGAACACTTCACCCGAGAACATTGAACTTCAGGCAGGTACAACGCTTGGATATCTGCATGAAGTTGATGCGGTTGAACTCATAGCCGAGCAGGAAAACTGTGAAACCGATCACCTCTATCGAGTAATGCGAGTGTGCAGAGAGCATGCCCGCCCAACGTCATACGCAGTCAACCCAGTCAGTCCCGCCGTCCCCGACACCCCAAATCCTTCTGACAAGTGGTCAGAAAACCTACAGAAACTGTACGAGAGGAGTTGTGAAAACCTGTCCCCACACCAGCAGGAAGCATTGTGTGAACTTTTGGCTAGCCACGAGAACACTTTTGCCAAATCCGCGGAGGATTTGGGAAAAACGTCAATAGTGCAGCACACTATTGACACCGGCGACGCACGCCCCATACGACAGCCTCCCCGCCGTCCCCCCAAGGCATTTCAGGGCGAGGAAGAGAAAGTTCTCGAAAGCCAACTCAAGGCGGGTGTGATCCGCGAGTCAACATCCCCCTGGGCATCACCAATGGTTTTTGTCAGGAAAAAGGACAGCACAACTCGTCCGTGTGTCGACTATCGTAAGCTGAACGATGTTACGCGCCGTGACGCGTATCCCCTACCCCGTGTTGATGACTGCCTAGATTGCCTGAGTGGGGCAAAAATCTTCAGCACCCTCGATCTGCAGTCGGGCTACTGGCAGATTGAAGTGAAGAAGGAAGACCGCCCCAAAACCGCGTTCGTAACCCGAAGTGGACTGTACGAGTACGTGACCATGCCTTTTGGGTTATGCAACGCACCCAGTACCTTTGAGCGCTGTATGGAGCTAGTACTCAAAGGTTTGCAATGGCGAACTCTGCTGATATATCTAGACGATATCATCATCCTGTCATCAACATTTTCCGAGCATATTGAGCGTCTTGGTGAAGTCCTACGCCGACTAGGAAACGCTGGACTGAAGCTGAAACCGAGCAAGTGTGAACTCTTCCAGACGGAAGTTCTGTTCCTCGGTCACATC